TGTTGGTAATATTTGTTTCACATGTATGTTGTAATAGTATTGTAAATATTGTTAATCAGTCAATAATAAATATATGGGATTATAAGATTGTTACAATTAATTTATATAAACACATGGGGTTATGGGGTTATTGATAATTGATTTGCATAAACATATAGAAAGTGTATTAACATTGTTTATTTGACACTGTCGTGGGCTATCTCGATGAGTCTGTTGCTAATCTGTAGTACCTTGCATAACCCAGACTTCTCAAGAATACTTACAAATAACACAAAGAAGAGAATGCCTCCTATAAAGAACACTTAGGGAAGACATAGGCATGGTAATTGACTTGGCTAAAGGTAAGTGTTTCTTTATTGCATTCTGTTTCTTTGGTATATCACTAACTCTTATCTCTATTCTCAATGAAGGCTGTTTATACTAACCCCAAGCTTTGCTAAACTTTCTATACTTTTTAAATAAAAACAGTTCCCTTATCAATACCCAAGCCTTATCTATAGTTTCTTACCTTGCGACACTCAATCTGTCATACCAGACTTTGGGTTTTTGGATTCTAGACCATTACGCATAAATCGCGTCACCCACATGACCCATAACAACACATCTTTGAACCTGTTGTGAAAAATATACGTATCTGTATTTGCATGATGTAATATTATTGAAATGCTGTTGTTGTGATGTGTATACTTCTTTACTGTATAGTCAATAAAGCTTTGATGTCTCTCTAAGTTTTATGAGTATTTAGATTTGTACTGATTTATTAGTTTGAGTTATTGCTTATAAAGCTTCTCTTGATGTCTAGAAAGGTGTTAACCTACACTGACCTGGTTAGGAGCTTTGTGAGGTTGATGTTGGGCTTTCAAGAGCTTACTGTGAATCAGTCTTTCTTGTTGTTTTTTTCTTTCTAAAAGAAAAAATTTATATAGTAGAAGTTAGTAATTTTTGTAAAACTTACCTCTTCTGTACTCTGTAAAGAGTTCTTGAACTTGTTTTTGTAAGTTGTTTAGTTGTAAAGGTGATTTCTCTTGGTTTTTCTTGTTTTTTTTTACTGGTTTCTCTTTTTCTCAAAAAATTACTAAAAAAGAAAATTTTCTGAAAATTTGGGGATTAGTGAAAAGAGTTTTTTTTTTTAATATATTATTAATTTTATAAAGATATGAGTGAAGAATATCTATATAAAAGTTATTATTTATTATATTTTTAAAACAAAATAAATCAAAAAAAATTTTTTTATAAAAACTATTTCAAGTAAAAACTTTCTGTCAATCTTTACAAATAATACAAGTTGATCGCAAACCTTTATATCACTATTATATAATATTTCAGAATAAGCAAAAGGCTATCTCATTAGTAAAAACTATATGATCCCAGTTGTCATTTAAATATCAATATACTCAACTTACATATTTTTTTTATACATCTCTATAAACATCGATGTCACTAGTAAGAGATTTTTTTGATATTCAAGAAAAGTTAAATAATGTTCAAAAGTCTTGTAATCCCTATTAATATCCAATTTTTGTAGTTTTATTATCAAGGTTTTTGTTAAAATTGTTTGATCTTATTATATATATTGACCCAATGACATGATGCTCTCTTTATGATCTTCTAAGATCAACCATTATCTCTTGCATACTTCACTATTCTTGTATCTTTAATTTTTTTTATTATATTATAAATAGTAAAATATGAAATACTAGTTTATCACTAAATTTCAGCTATATTTCATATTCCATTGTTTTAGAAATATAATATGAACTAATATTGTGTTTTCTGCTTAAATAGAGATATTTTGTATAAGAATAAGTCAGAAAGCTTAATAATAATAATAATAATAAAAGATATTATTTGACTATTCACTTGATGTTTCTTTTCAAGAAAATTTGTCATGGCATAATTAAAATTAAAAAAGTTAGGCATATTTTATAAGAATAATTTTTGTTCAATTATTTTTTACCCACATTATATATAAAAAAATAACTTATAATAAATTTTAGATTTTTATAAAGTTGAGAAAATATATTCAAATATATGAGATAACCAATAAAAGATTATTTACTTCTTTTATTGATATGTATTCATTATCCAATCACTACTTGAGAAACTTTATGCTACTTAAAATTTAGGGTCAAACTGAAAAAAATAAAAATAAATCTCTTATTATATAATAAACTTTAGAGTGTTTCTTTAATAGATAAATAAATAACAATATTTTCTTTTTTCTTTTTTTTTATACTTTTTTTGCCATTGATACAAAAGGTGTTATTTGACTTTTTAGTTACTAGAAGTCAAAGTTTTTGCTTGAAAAAGAATATTAATAAATAAGAAATAAGTTGATTTAAAGAAAGTAATAAGATTTTATTAATATAAAGATATAAAAATTTCTTGCGAATGTTTTTTTTATATATGGTCAAAGAATTAATAGAAACAGTATTTTGAGTTATAAAATTATTTAAATTTAATAATTATAATACAATATATTATATACTATTAAATTATAGCTAAAGTTTTTTAATAAGTAATAAATGATTTATTTTTTATATTATAAACTTAATAAATTATAAAAATTTAATAATTGATATTGTATTAAACCTAATTCTGTATGATTTTAATAAAAAAAAACTTGAAGCTTCCTCTCAAGAAGAAAAAAATTTTAAGCAAAAAAAAAAAACTTAACTTATTTAACCATTGTTTTTTAACATTATATTATATTAAAAAAATCCAAAGTAATAGTTATTATGTGCTATGTTAATAAATCATCAGTTACTTTTTAAAAATCCAATTTTATAGTGAAGATTTGATCTAATCAATCAAATTATTGATAAGAACATAAAATAATGAATTAAACACAATCTTTAAAAATTAAGAAATCGCATAATGACTATTTGGAACAATTTTGTTTAAATAAAAAATAATATTCTAATAATAGTAATTCAAGTAGTTTGTTTTCGTTCATGTCACTTGTGCGAAGGCGTAATCGAATAAACAAATGCCTCATCCGTACAAAAAAATGGATATGAATATTGGGTGTGTACATATTGATCATGTAATGCAGATCCCGCTAAATTACACGTTCATTTTTTATTAAATACATATAAAAACAATGTGGTTGCTGGTTTTTATTAAATTATAAGGTGATGATTGAATGAATATATTGCAGAATTTTTACAGAAGGTATATGTAAATTGCACTACAAATTTTTGTAGTTCTTTTAGTAAAACCGAAACAAAAAGCAAACCAAATTGAAACCGAGTAATGATAATGAACTTTAAGAAATAAAGAAATAGATATAAAGATGCAAAATGAAAGACATGGCGGAAGGAGTTACAATAAGATCTGGTTAGAATAAAAGAAGAGAAATAAGCTTCCAATTTTCAATCTCAATTAATATATGAAAGAAATTCGAAACAAAATTTATTTCGTTATGGTAAAAGCGAGAGGAAAGTGAATCATCAAACATTTCTTTTGAACGATTTCCATTTTTAACATATATAAAAAAGACAATAAATCTTTCCAATGAATAGTGCTGAAGAATAATAAAGGAATCCAATATGTTCAGTCGTCAATTGAAAAACGTTTCCGGGGGGCAGCTTCAAGGTTGACAGCACCATCATGACTTCTCCTCTGAACTGTATCGTGAGGAAAAAAAAAATAGAAGTCAGATTCAATGAGAGAATGTAATAAGAAAGACCGATACCAAAGTTATAATATATGTGTGCGTAAACTTACAATGTTCTTTTAATCCGGCACCTGAAATCATAAAATAACGCATGAAGAAAATCAATATCAGAACAAACAAGTAAAATAATAATAATTGCACATTCTTACCGAAATTATTGTGAGCCAAGTATGCAACTAGCATTGACAGTATTGTTAAAACGATACCCAGAATATCCTAATTAAACGATAAGTTTTGTAAACACTGAAAGGAGAATATCCGTCAACTATCAATTAGATGAACTAAGTTGAGTGAGAAAAATTACCAGAAGTGTTAACAAATTTTCGTCACGTTCGATAATGAACTCGGCTAGGATATAGATAAAATTGATTATTGTGGCTATCGCTCCCAAGAAACAAATAATCATGGCAACCGTGTTTTCTGTTCGAACCTGAACGAATGAGAAAGAATTATTAATTGTGGATATTTGCGGTGGATTGGCAGTCTGAAATGGATGCATAGAGTTCATACGTACCCCCCACAGTGCTAACCCAACCATTGGGATAACAATAACCACCATGATACTCTGAATAATGATTGTTCGTGTGTTGCCGTATGGATCGCCGAACAAGAATATTAAATTAAGAATTTGAAAACCCATCAGGAGGAATATGTCCAATTTCAGCAATAATAGGAATACTAGATGGATGAAAAAGAATCATAAATACAACGATGCAATATTTCTATAGTTTATGACTCGATGCATACCAAGGTATGTTCGATACATTGCTAGAATGAGAAAGAATATTAAACCAATTTAGCTTAAATAATGGAAATTTTCTCGAGATGATCAAAGAATCGATGAAACAAACTTACTTTGCGTTCTGATATTTGCGCCTATTTTTTTATAAATGTTCCATCCGAATTGTTTGTATCTAAATATTAAAGCAAACATGAATTGTATTAAAAGATCTCATCATTACGGTTGTGCAATAACTTGCGTAATTGACAAAGAGAGAGACGTTTTTACTCACAATTTATATCCTAAGAATATCGAGATCCCTGCAAAGACTGACAAAATCAAAAGCTGTGCTATCTCCCAAGTGACTACATTCTTTGAAAAATTCGAGCCTTGGTAATTGTCGTTTAAAAGTTGACCGTTCACACGGTTGATCCAATTATCGCTTTGAATCGCTTGTGTGCCGGCAAAGAATAAAAGTAATATGTTTATAATTCCTATTGATATTATTTCTATTGTATTCTATGTAATGTAATTTGATAAATATGTAGTTAACATAAATGTCGATAACAAAAGGAAGAAAGTGAAAATTGAAATATGGTCTTACTTGAAAAAACAACTAAAAATAAAATAAGAAAAAGGTTAATATGGTATTCAGGCTGGCTATAAAGTAACTTTGGAAAATTAATTTTTACCGCAGAAAGGCATAATGCTGTGAGAAATGCTTCAAAGACCATGAACCAAACATTTCCGTCAATTATGGACAGGTATTGAGCTTTATAGGTGGAATAGTTATAATTTTTGTAGAAGTATTGACGGCCAGTGAGGTTGTCGTATTCAGTGGATAAGCTCACTAGCTGTGATGTGCTATTTTCGTTTAGCCTTAGTATGACAGCCTCCACTGCAATCGCTATGAGCATTTGGAATGAAGCGAAAACGATGTATAGAATAGTCCATTTTGACTCCCCCATCCGACTCCACTGTCATGCCATAATGTTTTTAGTTATAGACGTCAAAAAAATTAAACTTAACAGGTAACCAACCATACGTACCATTTTATTTAATATGTTTGTGAGGCTCATGGTTAAAGAAATGTTGACAATCCTCCCAGAGGTTTTACTGTCAAGTGAGGCCTACTTACTTATATATGCCTAAAAGAATCACTGGAATAAGAGAAGTATTTGAACTATAAAGCCAATCGATTTTCCCGGTAAAGAGGGAAGAGAAGTGAAAGACTCGTTACGAAAACCGAATTGAAGTAAATTTTCTTAGACCGTTAAGTGGAATAGTAAGTACACAAGCACGCACGCACACCTAGTTTTTCAATAAAAAGTTGAAACACGAAGAGATGAGTTAAGTAATTTATGTTGTGCTTCATAAACATCTTCTGATTAAGTTAAAAATGAAAATATGGTAGTTTGTACGGTATGTGAAACGATAGCTCGTCGATTAAGGATATGTATATTTATATACATAATAATATAAAGGCGATTTTTTTTGTTTAAGGCTAAACATTATGTATTGGTCGACAAACGCTTTTCCTAATTAGAAATTTAAGGAAGTATTAGGTTCACAAATTACTACTGTGAATTTGTCTTTTTTCTTTTTCTAGAACCAACTTAATAATAGCTGTAATACCATTTGGGTAGCACCAAATATTTATTGAGGAAATAGGAAATAGTAGCAATTTTTCTCGTAGTAGAACTTGATACAACATTTACACATTTTAACAATGAGATTAATTGATTTTATTTAATATAATAATAATAATTATCAATTTTTATACATTTTAAATATTTTTATTAATAAGAACTTGTAAATTATAATAATTTAATGAAAAGAAATTTTATTTAAATTATTTGTAAAGTAAAGAGTTTAATAATAATTTGTAATATGATATTAGCTTTAGTAATATATATATATATATATATATATAGTATATATTAACTTAATAAATTATAGTTATTTAATTTAATAATAAATTAGATAATTTTAATATTAATTTAGAATTATTTTTTTTTACAATAATAAATTATAAATAATATTTTCTTAAAAAATTTTTTTTTATGATTTATAAAGATTTTACAGTATATTTATTTGCATTGATTTCTTTAAAAATCAAAATAATAATATATATACAGCATATAGATATAGATAGATAGATACACACATTTTAAAAAAATTATTTAAAAGATTTATAAATAAACAAAGTTTTTTCACCTATGTGATGGATGGATGAATGATTATCGTTGAAACGAAAGAAAAATCTGGACCCTAAAAGTCATAGACGATGTTCCTGAATCTAATTCAACTTGTATTGTTTCGAGTTATAAACCTAAAAAATCCATATCTAGCTTTCACAAGTAATTACCCATATGCTATATACATTCGTAGGGTTTCTACTAGTTCACGTGATCATAGAAGTTTGCACTAAGGACTGGTGCACTATTACTAAACGCTGCAAGAGGAACACCCCTGCGCAGCCCAAAATAGCAGCTACATCTCTACTCGTTCATACGCTGTACGTTTCAATGATTTTCCGACGTCAGTTTCAAATGAAATTCATTTTATCTGGCGTCTCGTATATTGTCTTCGAATAATATTACTTCAAGTTACATAACCTGAAACTTACGTTCGTACTACAATAAATACATTACGTAGCTTATATTTAAGAATTTGCTGAATAGTTTTTCTTCGGAATGACACAATTGTTCAAATTAATCTTATAAATTGCCAGAATATTAAAGATTAAAAAAGAAAAAGATATTGAACTTGTTCTAGACCTGGTTTTTACTGTTATGGTAAACGTTTTCATGATGGAATGGGTGAACATAAAGGAATTCAAATATTGTCGCCAATCAGCTGAGCACAAAAGTTGACCGAAATGAGATTGGAATGTACATAAGGCGTCCGAAAATCAGCAGAGGTTGAAGATGTCAAAGGAACGTATGGTACTTGTTATATTAATGGAATCTGGAGTTAACTGCGATATGACCGATGTGCTTACCATACTTTATCGAAATTATCGAAATGGAATTAGAGTTTAGGAATTCATTGATTCACAGATTGACACCTTGGCATCAGAATCTATTTTTAAATATGATTTTCGAGAACTATTTTTATTTCATTTAAAATGAGATTACCTTTTTGCATAGAGACTAAAAAATATTGGGAATTATGGCGGGGCGGATTTGCGACTGTATCCGTGTCTTTTCTATGTTAAAGTTACAGTATAGGCACATTAGGAGGCTACGCATCTAGGGGTTCTTTGCGTAAATCTTTAGTTAGTAACACAGATGGTATAGAAGATAAGTCAAAATTCTTTATTTTGCGAAGTCTTATCGATCGAAACCTACATAGCGATGATGCATTTTAAAAGATAACTTGTATAGCGCATACATCACAGATTTATTCGTTTGATACAATTATAGATATTTTCAGGGAAAGCTGTTGTTATCTTAAGTTCAAGTATGCAAGGTAACACCCCGGTGTTAAACGGGCATAAATGTAAAATCAGATTGAATCGGTTCTTTATTCACCATGTTCATTTATTTTTATTCTCTTGGCACTATAATAAGATAACATCAAATAACGTAACTGTATCTTATTATAAGATATCGTGTTTATCAATCGTTATATACTGCACAGTCGGCATCAAGGGTAAGCGCCCAATAATTATGATAAACAATTTTTTTTTCCTTTAACATTTTTAAAATTCGATCTTATTATTAATTAAATATATAAAAAGGTTGTTAAAAGATAAAATGTGAATTGGAATATATAAGAGAAAAGAAAAATAAAAGGAAAGAGAAACATCAAATGCATGAGTGTGCGAAAAAATATATGCTGTATATATTATATATAGATATATTCTATATATACGCATATACTGCATATACTATATAATTTAAAACCTCTAAAAAATTTACTATTAAAATATTTAAAAACTTTTTTTCAAAAATGATTTCTTTAATATTGGGATAAAGTTTTTTTCTTAATTATCCATGGCATATATTTATTGAGGTATTAAATAAACATCCATGATATTATATGAATTATTACATAATGGCTAACTGATTAGTTTTTTTTATTTATAATTATATATTATTTCAAAAATAATAAATTATTAAATTAATATATTATACAAGAGAAGAAAATCAAGATCAAGAATGAATAAGTTTCTCAGATGGTCAAAAAAAAAAAGGATATTCCAATCAGATATTTCTTATTGAAAAAAAGCCTTAAGAAGCAGATCTTTAAAAAATATTGAAGAATTTTATTTTTGTTTTCTTATATATTCACTTGAACATTTATAGATATATCTCTTTTTCATTTTTTTTAATTCATTCTTTTATAATTTTCTGTATTTCAGTGGCTTGGTAGAACATTTTATAGTAACAACCTGTCAGCAATAAAATAATGAACTAGAAAGGTATTTATCCAAAGATTACTATAGAATAAAATATTGTTTTCAAAATCAAACTTAAAGATTATTATTGCTTATAACAAGTTTATTAAAATTGATAAAAATGTTTAACTATAGTATATATTATACTATTTAAATAAAAATATACATATGTTTTCAATTTATTAATAAATTAAAATCTAATCTGATTACAGGTACTCAAAAAAAAAATTTAAATTATTAAATTAATATATTAAGAAAAAAAAAGCAATTTAAAAAATTTTTAAAAGTTTCTTATTCAAATAAATAATTCTCTTTCAAAAGAAATTTATTTGATTGAAATATCATTTAATTTTAAGCCATTTAAAAACCTTATTTATTAATTATTAAAATTATATATTATTTAAAAAATTCTTATTATCTTAAGTTTTTAGAATAAAAAATCTTATTTTCTATATTTATTTATAAAATTAAACTTATAATCCAATCAAAATAATAGTATCAATAGTTTATTATATAATATTAATTATTTTTTTGTTTTTTAACCATAACTGGTATTAAATGTAAGATTTTATTTGACAATTTAGTTTCATTATCATTACATTAAACATTTTTGCAGATTATATATTTCTATATATATGCAGATTAATGCTAACCTATAACAATTATTCTAGCTAATAGTCAAATAATTAATACATAGTCATAAATAGTGATGCTGGACTAGTTAGTATAGGACTCAATTGACTTTTTATTAATTCACTAAACTAATTCTTTCTTATATATACCCAATAAAATATGAACACCTTTCAATATTCCTAGATATTATTTACTTAGATCTCAGAAGAGAGCATATTATCTTCTTTATCACTATTTGTGACATTGGATCAATTTCTATTAATTGATTTTCAATTAAATGAATCATCAGATTGAGATATTTTGAACTAGGAAAGTAGGGTTCTAGAGGTTACCAGGGTAGAATGGTTATAGAGTATTTTATGGAAGTTAGATCAGAAACCTTTTTTCATACAATTCTTCTGATAGTACAATTTTTGAATTTTAGCCACTGATTGACAAAAAGTCAAAAATTACATTTTTATATAACCTAATCTATTTAAAACTGGTTTCAGATAATTAAATATAACTTTCACAGAATAACTGATAAATCTGTTTAGAAGGATAATTTAAATTTTTGATTCTTAAATGATATTGAACTATAGATCTTGTAATTATAATCTAGAAACATTATTACTATGTTATTGATCTACAAGTTATTATATATTTTTATTAATTAAATAATTTTATTATTTAAAAAATATAAAAAGTTTACTAGACTAATTTAAAGTTAAATTTAAAAAACTATATTATTAATTTGATATTTAATTTATTTAAGATTATTATTGATGTTGAGTAAAAACTCTTTCCGCTGATCCCCATTTTTTTAGAAAATTTCTTTTTTTGATAATTTTTTGAAAAAAGAGAAGCCAGTCCAAAAAACAAAAGAAAACCAACATCAAAGACCATCCACTTATAATAAACACTATAAAACCAACTAGTTACAATACAGGA